TTCATCGGAAACCCCCTTAGACAGTGGCGATTACAGACTGCAAACTCAAGATGGTGTCAGAAATACATTTAAGTACACATGAATTATTTTAGTTATGCAGAAGTACAGGGGGTAAGGGCCACAAAAAACTTGTACAAACCCTGAAAACTTTATGTATATGTTTTGTATATGTATGTATATATATATATATGCATATGCATATGTTTTCCCAAAAGTCCCTTATGGCTTTTGCTCTGAGAGGCACTTTGCAATTTGTCCAGTAGAGGGCAGCCACAGAGCAGCTCTGGGATTTCAGTGGCTCCAGGCTCTTGGAGGATGCTTCTGTAACTACACAAACATGTGCATCCATTATGCCGTTTCTGGGTTCTGGATTCATGTTCTTCTTATACCAATCTTTTCCATATGATGTGTTTATTTCCTTTCAGTTGTTCGGTTGTTTTGCTGTTATTATGAGCGGGATCATCTTAAATTTAATGTAGCCTTACTTGTTTTAAAAACACTCCCAGATAAACAAAAGATTACAATTCTCTCTGTGTATTGGAAAAGTCAGAATATAGCCGAGATGTTTAGAATGAAAGCCCTTTCTGTGAGAGCACAAATAGGAGATGCCCAATAGAGAGAGGAAAAACAAAATAAGTGACCCCGCTTGTATTTAGAATTACCCCAGAAAAGCCAAACTCTTGTTTCTAATTTCCCAGTTACTCAATTATTAAATCCCTCTGGAGACACAGCAGAACACAAATGCCCTTTGGGGTGAGGATTTCTGGTGCTTTCAGGAGAAACTTTGTACATAAATAGGCATGTTGGCTGCACCGTGGCCTGGCGTTGCTCTTAATTACCATCCATCTGCCCTCAGGATGCAGAGAACCACGTGTCAGAATCAAGAACGAATGGAGATGTGGTGGAGTGTAATTTTTAAGAAATGGGTGAAAGTTCAAAATGATATTTTCAAGCTTTTTTGTGTTGTTGTTGCATACCGGTTGGCATGGAAATCAAACAACAGGGTAGTATTAATATTCAGTTCAGTCCAGCAAACACCTAACTGTCTCTGTGCACCAGCTCTGTCTATGCCTGTCCTTGATGGGTGATGGGAGCAGAGTATGGCCAGGGCCACCGTGGAGTTGTGGCGGATGTGTCCCATGCCTAGAGAATGTGATGCTGTCCAACTTTTTCTGCATGTTTGGTTCTCGAAGGGTGTGGCCGGCAGTAGTGGGATTACCTAGCACCTTTGAGAAATGCAAACCTCTAAGTCTCTCTTTAGGGGAAGCCTAGCCTATGTTTTAAAATAAGCCTTTCCAGTGGGCTTCAGATTTGGTAAGCTGGCTATCCTCTGCTCCAGAAATCAATGTGTGGCACTCTTGGTGAAATAACTAGATCTGCTGCTCTCTTCCTTCCTTGGGGTGGAGCTGCCAGGAGGAAGTAGAACTCATCTGCTTATCCATCCATCCATCCATCCATCCATCCATCCATCCATCCATCCAAGGAGGGGTCAGTACCATGTACTAATACCTTCCAAAGTAACTCTCTGCATAACATCCATCCATCCATGCATCTATCCATCCATCCATCCATCCATCCATCCATCCATCCATCCATGCATCTATCCATCCAAGGAGGGGTCAGTACCATGTACTAACACCTTCCAAAGTAACTCTGCATAACATCCATCCGTGCACTCCATGCCTTGCTTCTTCTCATTTGATCCAGAGGCAGGGCCAAGAGGAGCCTCTGGGAAACTTGTAGCCAAGGAGATGGATTGACACGGTGCGAGGGTTAAGACTTCGAGAACCTTGAGGTCTCTGAAAGCCTGCCTTCCGGTGGTGGTGGTGGTGGTGGTGGTGGTGTAAAGAGTTGTCCTCCCCCCATCCCCGCCCTGAACTTTTCCCATATTTGATTTCCTTGAGTCAGAAATTGCAACATGATCCTCGTAACAAAATTTAACAGTTAATCACGAGGAACACAAAACAAACAAGCTGTTCACACATGGGTCACGGGGCTCTTGTTTTGAACGTGTTTTCTCTCTGGCGATGATATCGCCTCGCTAGGAAGAACAAAGCCCTGTGCTCAATTCCCAGGACCAAAGGGGAAAATACATATCACATACTGACTTCTGAACTATACATAATTCTAAATGTTATATCATGTAATATATATTGTGTAATGCGTATTATATACATATAAGTGATTTCTCCATGTTTTGAGAGTTTTCATTTGGAGTTGAAACTTAAAATCCCTGCCCACGAGGGCTGGAGAGATGGCTCAGTAGTTAAGAGCACTGGCTGCTCTTCCAGAGGTCCTGAGTTCAATTCCCAGACATGGCATGGTGGCTCCCAACCATCTGTAATGAGATCTGGCGCCCTCTTCTGGTCTGCATGCATATGTGTGGACAGAATACTGTATACACAATAAATAAATCTTTAAAAAAATCTCTCTGCCTGTTTCTTTCTGCCTGACTGGAATTCCCTTTCTGCTCTGCCTCAGCTGCCAGAAACCTCTCTTTCACTGACCTGACAATTTTTTTTCAGGCTCCCTAGTTATCTACCTTGTCTCCAGCCAGACCTCCACAAACAGCCAGTCTCATCTTCATTGCTTGCACATTCTTCTCTCAATTACCTTGTGAATGGTAGCATCTTCTTTCCCTTGATCTCAGCTTCACTGGGGTAATAGTTAAGAGTGTGGCTCACATCTACGTGGAAATATGATGCCTAACGGTAGAATCCACATGTGTTAGTGATAGCATCTATTTCTCCTATAGCTCTTGACTTCTTAACTTCTTCTTATTCAAGAACTGATTCTAATCTGCATTGCAAAACATTACATGCTCCATGCAAGGTTAATTTATCCACCGTTTTACCCCTCAGGTGTGTCATTTAGGAAAGTCTCATAGAACCATGTGTGTTAGTGCTTATCCCCAGTAACCGCTGCACTCAGAGGCTGAAGCAGGGGCATCACGAGTTGAGGATCAATGTGGATACGTAGGGAATTCAAATGAGAATACGTACTGAGACGCTGTCTCTGAATTTGAGCAAACGGAAGGCATAGACATACTAAGTCAATTAATAGTTGACTGCACATAGAGAAGTTGAAGAGAAGTGAGTATGGGTGCTTGGTTTATGAGTACGGGATGGTTTAGAATTATGAGAATATATTGAAACTATTGAACTGTAATTTTGAATGAGGAAGTTGCAGGGTACATGGAGTATCTCTCAATGTAGCTGTGATTTAAGGTACCCCATATGGGCTAGATAAAGGGCAAGTTTGTTCCAATGCTTTTTCTTCAGTGTTGGTAGGTCTGTCTCCACAGTTATGAAAATTTACATAACAAAAAAGAAAGTTTGAAATGCTGAAAAATCTTTATGACCCACTCATAACCATTTTCCCTTGAGCTCCCCTTCCCCTGCTATATCTTTGACTAATGAACAATGCCAAATCTTACTCTATCTCCTGGTAGATAATTTTTTTTCCAAATTTCAAACCGTTTTCCTACCCAGGGATGGAAGCATCCTCAGTTTCATTTCTGACTTGAAACAAGATGGCTTGCGTGCATATTTTAAAATCGGTTAAAGAAATAGAACAGTCGGTGTGCTATTCAGCCCACAATGGCTTTGTCTATTATCACCAAGGCTTAGAAGATATTGCTTATTATCCTTGGTTTGTGGCTGAGGTAACTGAATCATGCATATGAAGCATACGTTCGCTCTACCCATAAGAACAAAGTCATGCTAATCTATAGCATTAACGCCTAGTAACAGGTATTGCCTCTACAAGGATCTATTGTTCTTCCTAAGAATAAGCATTCTCCATGGCCAAGGCATGTTCCTTGTATAGACATGAAAAAGAAGGCATGTATGTGTCCTTTACGGTAGAAAATTAAAGGTGAGGCTAAGATGCTGGACTAGAGTGGATTCAGTCTACAGCGAGTTATAGGTTCACCCAACCTGAGCTTTGCTCTTTATAGCAAACCTAGAAGCATATGGTCTACCTGTGAGAACTCTCATGGCCCAATAGCAATGATTGATGTCAAAGTGTCACCCTCTAGAGAATGTTAAATTTGGTGGCTAAATACAAGGCTTATATTTTGTCAATCATACAGGTACACTTTTATTTACATACGATGCTTTCAAAGCAGAAATCCAACCTACTTTGCAATTATTTTTTGTCTTTTCTCAGGAATAAATGGTGTTAACCATGCTGTATGCTACTGTTTTTTTATTATTATTATTACTCAGATAATTGATTCCATAGCCTTGGCTACGTATTCCCTCACTGTCTAATGTGATTTGGGCACTTGTCATGGAGTCTGCCGTGAATGAGACAGCTTTGGTTTATCCTGAAGCCTGCCTTTTAGGATAAGTAAAGAGAGACAACAAACAAAACAAAGTAAACAAGGGTAGGGGAGATGTGTGCTAATGGGTTAGCTAATGAGAAGGATTTGGCTTAGAAAGAGATGGAAGTAAACCCTCTGGGTTTATTATGCTAATTCTAAAAGACAAGTCAGCACTTACAGTCTATTGATCTTGCCACAAATGTCAACCGGACTGACACAGAGCATCTCCGGTAGACTTTGTGCCTTGATTTTAAAAACAGCTTCTGGTAATGTAGCCCAGGCTTGCCTCAAAAGTACCACATAGACTAGCAGAGCTCAGATCTTTCTGTCTCTTTCTCGGAAATCTAGGATTACAGGAATGTGCCACACAAAGCCAGAGGGAGTTCTTTATAACCAGGCAATTTTATAGCAAGGATAACCGTGTTTGTGAGGTGTTTTATGGTATAGACTGAACCCTACGGTAGTACACTAAATGTCATAGGAGCAGACACTGCTGTCCTCACAACACTGCCTCTCAGCATCTTCAACCACTTTCATGCCGAGCTCGTGAGCTAGGTAACACAGCTTGGCTCAATAATACCCTCATCTGGTCTTGCCAGATAAAACATGCATCTGGGGAGGATGTCTGTGTGTGTGTTTTCTGACTTATCATCTGTTAATCTTAAAACTACAGGTAGAACCAAGACGGACGTAATGCCATCTTCTTCGTTGGACGCACTTCCGGGAAAGAAAGGAAGAATGGCGGCAATGTGAAAGCGGATTGGTGAGTTCAGTGAGGTACCTGAGTATGAGGGTTCCGGTTAGCTTCCATGGCGTGTGTGGTTTGATGGGTACCACGCCTTCAGCACGAGCAGCATCAACAAAAGCAACGCATTTCCACATTGTCAAACAAATGCTCCAGAGCATAAACAAATGTGACACACCTTAAATTAATGTCGTACAGCAGATGGCAACTGGGGTAGTCACCAATCTGATCACAGGAGGTGGCCAGTTCAGGCTACAGATCCACTATTGCTAGTCTTGACTGGAGTCATCCTTCTAAATTTATGGGAGTTTCCTTTGCTTCCTGTTTCTACTTGATTCTGAAACTCCTCTTCCCAGTCATCTCTTTCAGAAGTCTCTCCCTCCATGATCCCCCAACCTAACCCCTCAAGTTCCCATCTCCACCCGCCCCCAGTCCACCCAGATCTCCTCTATTTTCCCATCCCAGGAAGATTCATGTATCCCGTTTGGACCCTCATTGTTACCCAGCCTCTGTGGGGCTGCGGATCGTAGCATTGTTCTCCTTTACTTTATACCTAACACCTGCTTATGAGGGAGTATATACCATGTTTATCTTCCTGGGTATGGGTTACCTTACTCAGGATGATTCTTTTTTCTAGTTCCATCCATTTGCCTTCAAATTTCCTGATGTCATTGTTTTTAACTTGTGTAATCATAGCATGTTGTCTTTCAGCGTCTGGTTATGAATGATGCTCCTATGAACATGTCTGGTTATTATGAATGATGCTCCTATGAACATAGTTGAGCAAGTGTCCTTGTGGTATGATTGAGCATCCTTTGGATGTATGCCCAAGAGTGATATAGCTGGGTTTTGAGGGTGTTTTATAAGTCTTACTTGCTGTCACAGTAGCTTTTTAGTTCTGCATAGCACATTCGAAGTTAATTATTTTGGGCAACTCTCTGTAGAAGCCAAGTAGTCCTAGCTTTTATTCATTCTCCCTGTCGTCTAATGGAGTTTTAACTACAAAAGGAGATGTACCAGGATGACACGTAGGCACTGCCTTTAATTAATCACGCTCACACCCAGCATCTGGAAAGAATAATGCAACATCTGCTTTGGATAGAAGCACCTGAGGATTATTAAAAGCTGTTATTTTATGTCTTTTTTATAGTATAAGTATCATGTGTTAGCCATACTTAGATATGAATAATTTGAAGAGAAAATTAGCAAAAAAATCCCTCATGCAGTTCATTAAAAGAAACAGTCCAGACCTCTGAATGAGTCTTATTATTTTTTTCTAGTTAATGTTTATTTATTCTTTGATTTGCCTTAGGAAGGGTGGAAGAGTGGTCTTAGGTGGTGGCAAGAGTTACAGTTGGTCGTTCACAGAGGATAGGACACAACAGACGTTGTCAAAGCATCAGCAGTAAGGGAAGATGAAGGATGCAGTCTCCGTTCTCTGACTTCTACTTCAGGCCTTTCTTATCTCCAAAGTGGATAGAGCCACACTCCGTGATGAAATCTGTTACATTACCATGCACACTCTAGAAATGTGTATCTCTGACTTACCTATCTTCTTGCTCTGGTTTAAGTGAAGTTGTAGTAGACTGTCATAATGTAATTCTTTCATAAATTGTCGGGACTCAGAGAATGAGGGTTTTTGTCTATGCCCCCCAAATCACCGCATTTGCCAGCAACTTTTATTTTACAACTCATACACATACTTTTGTGTATTAGAGATCTTAATTATGAAAACTGCAAGGAAGTAGTTATATATATATATATGTTTTTACAAGACAGGGTTTCTCTGTATTGTTTTGGAGGCTATTGGTCCAGCCCGGCCTCGAACTCACAGAGATCTGCCTGCCTCTGCCTCCCGAGTGCTGGGATTAAAGGCATGTGCCACCACCGCCCGGCCACGTTATTGATATTTTAAGGAATACAAGTACTTAAAATATTTCCTATACAATCTCTTAGAGTTGTGCAGAAGAGAAATAAAGAGGATTGTGTTTTAATAATAATGAAAATAACTTAATTAGTAATGATCACCTAGCAATATTTGAGTACTTCTGGAATTGTGTGATTTTTCAAATAGCTAATATTAAAGAGCCAGTTCTTTTTTTTTTTTTGTAGATTCTTCTCTGACACAGTTCACCTGACCACAGTTTCTCCTCCATCTATTCCCCAACACACACACACACACACACTCTTCCCCTTTACACTAGATCCACTCCATTTCCCTTCAGAGAAGAGCAGGCCTCCAAGAGACAACAAGACAAACCAAGCTACAATAAAACAAGGCAAAAGCTATCACACAGACTTAACAAGGCAACAGAATGAGAATAAAGGAGTCCCAAGAGCAGGCAAATGAACCGCAGACACGCCCTCCCCCACTGTTAGAGTCTCACCAAAACACCAAGCTAACAGCCGGGACATACATGCCGAGGACCTGGTGCAGACCTGTGCAGGCCTCATGGTAGCCATTTCGGTCTTGGCGAGCCCACATGAGCCTTGATTCGCTGATGTGCTTGTTCTCCCTGGGTCCTCTCTGACTCCTACAGTTTTTCCTCCTCCTTTGTCACACGGCTCCCCGACCTCCGAACGGACAGAGCAGATGGAGACCTCAAATTTAGACTCTGTCTCTCTCTGCATAAGGTCTCTGATGCATCTACTCCCATCTGATGTTGGAGGAACCCTCTAATGATGACTGGATAAGATACCAATCATAGCAGAGCAGCATTAGGATTTCTTCTATTGATTGTTTTTTTTTTTCCAGTTGTGTTTGCTTCTCTCCTGGTTTCTGGACTATTCAGCCTCTGGTCCCTGGTCATCCAGGCACTGTATGGTATGGGCTTCCTCTCCTGGTGTGGCCTCAGGTTAAACCAGACATAGGTCGGCACACGCCCAATTCTGCAGCACGAGTAGTTCATTCTACGTCAGGCAGAGACTAATTTCCTGACTTGACTCAGCTGCTTCACAAACATGGATCGCTCATAATAAGCCCCTTACTACTAAATGACCTCAGCAGAAGTGGACCTAAGATAGGCAGGGATACCGACCCTGTAGGAAGACCAACTTTCCTCCTTCCACTTTTATGTGTCTTCTGTAGATCAAATTCATGTCACAGGGCTTACAGGGTGTGCAATTCAGTCCTTTGTCAATTTGACACAAACTAGGGTCATCTGGGAGGAGGCAAGAATGCCTCAGTTAGATTGGCCTGTTGGCATAATTTTGAGGCTTTTTTTTTTTTTTGGAATGATGATTGATGTGGTAGAGTCCATCCCTCTGTGGGCGGTGCCATTTGTGGGCAGGTAGTCCTGAGTTGTATCAGAAAGCAGGCTGAACAAACTACGAGAGAAAGCCAGGCAAGCCGTTCTTCCATGGTTTCTTGCTGTAAGCCCCTGCCTTGACTTCTCTCAGTGATGGACTGAGGACTAGGATGTGTAAGTCACGCAAGCCCTTTCCCTTTACCGAGTTCTATCACAGCAACAGAAAAACAAACTGGTGGGACTCAGGGCAAACATCTTCCCTGGAGAAGCCATCTCTCCAGCCCACTCTGGCTTCCTTCAGTTGGGTCTTGAAGTTGATAACGTTAGACAAAAGAATTTAGTTTGAAGGTAGATGTGGCCATAATCTTTTCTGAAAAATGATATGGGAGAGTTAGAAGCAGAGAGGGATGCAGAGAGGTCCAGGATTGCTGCTTTTACACAATCACACTTAGTTACTCCCTTGCCAGGCAGTCTTCCAGTGGTCCATGCACCTCTCAGTAGGCGCCATCTCCTTGGTGTTCTGTGATCTCCCAGTGTTACTGTCCCGGGGACCAAGAGGCTTCCAATACTTGGATGTTTAGGAGAACACTTAAACCAAACCATATGCAAATTATAACACTAGCCCGACTTTATCTTCCTTGCAGAAATCTATTTCCCATACCTTCCCGTGTACCTGTGCCAAATCCAAGCTCTTTGCAATTCTGAGAACACGCCACAATGTTTTTTATTTTTGACCACACTGATCCGTCTGTCTGACAGCCTTTCTTGCCTGCAAGGACAGAATTGAAAACATACAGTTTGCTGGGATGAAATCTTGTACAGGATACCTTTTAGGATGGAAATACATTAAAAAATAATCACTTTTGCCACTAGCCTCCTTTTATTGTATCTGCAATCTTGGCGTCGAGCAAATCAATTTTTCAATTTCCTTGCGATTTTCAGCGTTTTCCAATTATTTTCAAATTCTTTTGTGTTTCCTATTTTTTTTACATTCAAAATCTTGTGTCGAATGAAATGTAAAATAGAAAATACCTTTTGTCTCTTTGTGGAGTTTTGGCAAAAACCTTCAGCCAATCTGCTCCATTGTTTAATGCCATAAACTTGAGACGTGCGATTATATCTTACCTATATCTTCTCCCTCCTTTTAGTTGTCCTTCAAGGCCCTTCTTGAAAATGAGTATTCATAAGAACTAGTGAGGTAGCCAAGCATGGAAAGGTGCTTCCAGCCAGCCAAGCCTGACTGCCTCAGCTCAATTACCCAGCCCCAGATGGTGGAAGGAGAGAAACCAACCCCTCCATGTTGTCTTTAGATGGTCACCCCTCCACACCCACAGTTAAAAATTTAATAAAGCACCAGTGTTGCTGAGACATTCCTCTAGCTATTGTGATACATTTAGCTTTGTGTTTACATTTTTGTAGATGGCCTTCTTCTCTGAAGCACGATTCGCCGTCTGCAGGGATGCGTTTGAACGGTACCTGCAGTATGGTATTTAAAGATACGAGCGCCTGAGGCAGAGTGTTCGGGTTCACATCCCAACTTTGTCACTAAGAGGTTGCATGACCTTCAGAGTCACCATTTTCCTTCCTCGGCTTTCTATCTTAGTAAAATGAGGCTGAAATTTCTAATGACCTCAACCTGCCATTCTGAGGATGGAATGAAAGAATGTATGGATGTACTTGACACAGAGCCCTGGTGTGCACAGGAGCAATCCAATTTCTTTCTAGTTCTCATTTATATTTCATTGTTTAATATTTATCTTTCTCCTTGTA